AAAAAAAAAGGCAAGTTGAATTCACTAGAATTCTGCATGCCACTTCATGCTTTTTCCGTCACAGCCAGCGCTTGCTGTTCAGTTTTTTATTCGTGTTCATGTTTCGCATTTCCGAATCGTTGTTTTCGAAGCTGCATTTAATTTCTGTTGTATTTGATGCATCTCGTGTTCTACGAGTTTCAGAAACATGGGCCAAAAATGACCAAATCCGGCATTATTGTCGATAACACAATGGTTTCTGCGCAACCATTATTGAAAGCACAGAGCATAGGATCCAGGATCCTTTCCTAAGACTACAGCAGATTTTGCACAGCCCTTGAACAAATGCTGAATTGATTATTCACCAAAGAAGAACCGACCAAAATTCGCTCCAATATTGTAATGTCGGGATTTGGGGGGGTTGCGCAGCTCAGAATCCAGTCTGATTCCACGATCACTTCCTCGGATTCGACCTCTGACGATGATCGCACATTGGAATCACCAGAAGGTCTTGAAAGTCCGCCGGCACTGATACCAACTAGGTTTCAAATTTTTATCATTTGTTAGAATTCAGTTTTCTCTTTCGACTACAACGCTCATTTATTTTTTCCCCGAAACTTCCCTGAGCTTAGGCAGAAGTGCAAATCTGGTACAAATAAACAGCATGAAAAAATACATATTTTTTTGCTTCCTTTTTCGCTCCTTTTTTTCCGAAATAAATTTATCAATCTTTTTAGTACAGGGCAAATTCAAAATTTATTAACCTGAAAAATTGTCATGAAAATTAATTTTACAGATCCTGGAAAATTTATCAAAGTCACTTCCTTTCTAAATTTTTTTGTTATAAATTAGTTACTTTGATCAACTGTAATTCCTAGACTGGTAGGTGAAACTTACCTACCAGTCCGCGAATGCAGGTGAAACTTTCCAGCTCATTGACCAATCCTCTGTTACGCCCTCTGGTTAATCTACTGACATCCCTAACGTTCGTTTGGTTTGTTTGGTTCACGAAGAAATAAAATGGAAAAATAAAACAAAATTAGCTTAAACAGACACATGGTGCCCGTTCTTGTTACTGGTTTGTGAATTCACCTAAAGCTCATTTTGACTCATAAACGCCCTAGTCCGGTTTTCTAGCTGTGCAGTTGGCAAATTTTTCAGCAGCCTTGACCAATTCTACATTTGGTCGCCAGCTAGTCTGCTAGTGTTCCTAATGTTCGTTTGTTTCAGTGTGCTAGGAAAAAAAGGCAAAAATTTTAAAAACTGCCGTGATAAAGGATTGCTTTTCTTAAGACAGCTGTAGAAAGGGCAATGCAGAAGAGGTCGAGGTAAAATATAGCTCAATAATAAATGAGAATAGTTTATTATGTAAGAAATTTGTAAAAGTATTATTTTGTCTAGGTAGAGAGAGAGAAAAAATAACTGTGAAGGAATGTTTAGATCCACTGAGTCAGAAAAAAAAACAAATACAGGTTAAAAAAGTTCTTGACGTCTTTTGTTAACTGGTGTGTAAAATTCACCTAAAAACCGACTAGAAGCTAATTGTGATCCATAAATCCAAGATCCGGATGAAACTGCCCTCTTATCTATTGAAGTTTGCCGCCTCAACATCATTTTTGCAAACTTTTTTTTGGAAAAAATTTTCCTGAAATTATTTTAGATCTGTACGATCAATATCGCTAAATTCAGCGCTGAAAAAGGCGGATCGACGGGGTGATAAAAAAGCTGTGCATTTTGCGGATTCGCTTGGCTTGGATCTTGTTAATGTTCATCCACTTCAGTCTTCAGGCTACAGTTCGTTTGAAGATTTGTTCAGCAGCACACCACCACTGTACTTCAATGGGTATCGTATTTCAGTTCAGCACAGAAATGTTTCAAATTCGAAATTCTCGGAAGTTATGAAAATTAGGCTTAAAATACTAAAGTTTTAAGAAAAATTTTTAAGTTTATACTGAAAATGTCAAGATCGCTGGAAGAGTCAGTGTGGATATCTCATGTTATTGATGTTACTGGGGTACTGTCATTTGCAGATGCTGGGCTGCGCACATCCAATTCGATATGTATGATCCACTTTTATTAGATCTATAGGGGAAGCTTACTTTCGGATTTCCCTTTCATTCATTACTTATTCCATCAGCAAAGGTCCAGATTTTGAGTCAAGATCTGCGTACCATAAAATCATGATTTCAGCTCAACTATTCTTGTTTTGTATATCCATAAGATTGAATTTTTGACATTTCAATAGCGTTCATAATTCTGCTCAAACCTTAGAAGTAACTTAGTATTTAGCATTAAATAAATATTTGTTTGGCATGAAGTTCTATAAAAAGGGGTTTACACACTGCGATTTAGTGCCTAAACAGCTATAAATTGTTTCGTTTAAAAGGCAAAGAAAAAAATTTTTTCTAAGGAGGAAGTTGACGAAGTATATAAGCAAATTGAAAAAGCTAAAAATAAGTCGGAAAGAGGAATGTTTCGGTCCATTAAGTTGCAAACTCTGTGTCAGAAGTTGATTAGAGTGCATCCATCAAAGAGCATTTGCTGGGCCGACACAACGCCTGGATTGCAAAGTTGCTAACTGCTTAAAATTTATTTGTATAATTTATGATTTAGTGAAAATTATTGATTCCACATTACATTTTACTGCTTCGGAGCGATCAGTCCTGCACTTTTGTTCCCTTTACGTGTTGCTTGCCCAGTTACACTTTGCGTCTAAAGATTGCTACGGTAATGCGAATAACGGTGTGCTAATGATTGTAAACTAATTTATCACGAGCTGCTGCTGTTCCAGCTTCTAGGTGGTCGCTTTCAACCGCAATCAGCAAGTACTAAACCAGCGGGAGCAAAGTATAAATTTAAAAAAAAAGAAAGGAACTAAAATGAAATAGAACAGTACAAGATTCAGGAAAAGCTAGAAAGAAGCGTGCCTCCTCAAAATGTCGAATCGGAAGGACCGTGCCTTTTCAGCAACACAGATTTTGAAAAAACTACATGCGGATGCGAGACATGATTACTGACGAAAGCAGAAAAGCGAGCGCTGGCTGTAGCAGGAAAAGCAATAAAATGAAAGGTGCCTGAAGGGCCCTTTTGTAATGTGCAATTAGATCATCCTTTAAATGACGAACAGTGCGAAGAATAACATGTGGAAAAA